CGGGAGCCCACACGCGCGGGACGCAGACGCGGCGCGGCGCGCGGGCCGTAAAGCGCCGCCGCGCCGCCGAGGACACGCCGGCCGTGGTGCGCGCGCGCCGCAGGGGCAGCGAGCTCGCCGCGGTGATGAACGCCATGCTGGTTGCTTCTGGTCGGGGGTGGCGCGGGCTGCAGGCGAGACGGACGTGCGGGGGGAAGGCCGCATTTCATTCACGCGCTGCCGGCCGAGAGCTGGCGGCATGCAATGCGGCGCGGCGCGCTGATTGGCGGGTGAGGGGGAAAGGTGGGCCATTGGTGCACCTGGCACGGAACGGTGCGCCGCTGAGATATTTTTGACTCGCAGAGGCAGTCCAGATTATGTGCACACGGCTGCTCGTCTTTGAGGGTGCGCCCTGGTATCGCATCGTGCTCATCGAACCCTTTAGGACATTCCGTAACAAACACTTTTAAGTTACTCCGCTTGCAAAAAGACATACGCCTACCTGAGCGGAGAAAGCAACGCACCTCGCGTGCTAGCCCTCATGGCCAGCACTGCCAACGTTCCTGCTCCCAACCCCCCCATCCCCCCCAACTCCACACGTTCCACTCCAGGCACAAAAAAACGTAAACACGCACCTCACAAGTCGTGAATTAAATCCGCGAGCTTCGGCTCCTGAACTCTGAGCGTCTCGAGCGCCTGTAGCACAATCTGCGTCACACGAGGCGCCGAAACTCCCATCCTCTTCGCCACCTCCCTCCCCAGTACTGGTTTCCCATCCTCCAGCCCAAACCGCATCACCAAAATGTCCGCGTGCCTCCTCCTGAGCCTGCGATAGCACGCCTCCTTCACCCTCCGTCTGACCTCCTCTCTCGCCAAAACTTCGTGCGGCAGCTTCCCCTCCCACCGCAGCATGTCCAACCCGCACCCGTCCCCCACGGGCGCGTCCAAAAATACCCCGCCCCTCAGGTGTCTCTCGGCCCCCCTCACCAACCGCAGCGGTTCTCCCGCCGTCACCGCGGCCTCAGCCTCCTCGCTGGGCCGTCGTCCATTCTCCCTCTCAAACTCTGCGCGGAACCTGCCAAGCTTCCCCGCGGCCACGCGCAGCCGTTCTGGCAGCGACACGATGCAGCTGGCGGGGGTCATGGCCCTTCTACACCTGCTCCAGATAGCCCTGCATGCGTACGGCGCGAAGCGCTCGCCCCTCTGGAGGTCGAACTTCTCCGCGGCTCTGATCAATGCCAACGAGCCCTCTTGCACGAGGTCAGTCAGGCTGACGCCGGCGCCGGCCGCGCCGCCGGCCGCTATGTGCACGCGCCGCGCCACGCGCACCACCAGGCGCAGGTTGGCGTGCACCAGGGCGTCGCGCGCGCGCAGGGCCTTGCGACGCTCGCGCAGCAGGCGCGGGGGGGAGACGCCGAGCGCGGCCGCCAGCTGCGCGTCCGTGGGGGGCGCGCGCAGTTCCGACGCTAGGTCCGCGCGCACGCGCTCGTGGATGCGGAGTGGGCGCACCTTGAGAAGCAGCGCCCGCTCCTCGGGTGACGTGAGCAACGAGTGCTCACCGAGCTCGCGCGAGAAGTCCTGGAAGGCGTCGTGCGAGGGCACGGTCTCGGGGCGCGTGCGGCGTGGCTTCGAGGGCGCCGGGCGCCGGCGCGCCGGCGGCCGGCGGGGGGAGGTCGCCGCTGTGGCGACGGTGAGCGCGGCGTGCGGCGGGAGGGGGCCGACGAAGGCGGGGCGGCGCGCGGGCATGGTGGTAGTGTGGAGGGCGGGTAGTGTGGAGTGCGGCCGTGTTGAGGGAGGGGGGTGGGGGAAGGGTGCATCGCAGGAGGCATGGGTCTCGAATACTAATTTAATACGGTATTGTAACATTATGTGCATGGGGCTCCGATGCGCGACGGAAGGATATATGCACAAGTTCCACGTCGGGCGGCTTAATTTGCACGGCAAGATTTGCAGTCAATCCGCCGCCACCCCCAATGCAACGGACACTTGGCTGCCAGCCAATTTCCCCTCCTCAAACCGGTGTGCTCCACGAGAACCCACCTCAGCAAACCATCAACCTCTGCAAATGTACCCAGGCAACCCCGTCACCTCCCCCACGCACCTCCGCCCTAAACCCCCCTGCATCCTCGCATAACGCCCGCAAAACTCCGCCACCTCCCCCCCGCCCCACCTCCTCTGCAGACCGCCCGACCATCAGCCGCTCCACCGCGTTCCCCTCTGCCACCGCCACCGCCCTCTCGCCGTCCCCTTCCAACACCACGTACAGCTTACCCCACCCCCATCCCCACCCGCCCCCCGGCGCTCCCCCACACACGCCGCACCTCCCCAGCTCGCTCCCCGCCCGCCGTCTCGTCCCACACCCCTCACACACACGGTGCACAAGCCCTTTCAACGCCTCCCTCACCCGGGCCCCCGCAAAACCCACGCGCACACGCACCCCGACCACCCGCACGTTGAGCACGGTGGCCTGTTCTCCCCGCCCGAGCTTGCCCACTTGCCCCAGCCTGACATCCTTCTCCCGCACCGCCTCTTTCGCCACCACGTCGGCCTTCTCCCGCGCGGGTGCCACCGCCAGCCTCTCACAAACTCCCCGGGGCCACGGTCTGCTCCTCACCCTTCCCTTCCTCGCCAGGCGTACCAAGGGCCCGAACTCTCTCCCGCGCCACGCAAAAACTTGGGCCGCCCCGCGCTCGTCCTCGGCGACCCTGGTGATCATGGCGTCGTGCGTGAACTTGAGGTAGGTCGCGCCGGATTTGTCGGCGCACGCTAGCACGCCCGCGACATGTACCACGTCCATAGGACGCAGCGCGGCCGCGCAGAGCGCGTCGCTGCCCCACAGACGCAGCTCAAGCCCGGTCGGGAGCGTGCCGTCCGCCAGATGCACCACGCACAGGATGAGCGGAGGCGCCCGTGGGAGCGGCCGCGGGCCGTCGATGCCGAGGATGACGCCAAAGAGAGAGAGCGCGTGCGAGGTGCCGCCAGCTAGCGAGAGCGAGGTGAGGGAGCGCGAGAGCGGCATGGCTGCGGCGGGAGCGCACGTCGCGCTTCGGTGTGGGGGCGGGCCGTGACTGTGGTGGGGTAGTGGTGGACTTGTTGTGGTGTGGATGGGGAGAAAAGTAGTTTACTTTTGTACTGTAATTTTAAGAGAAGTGCATGACGTGCACGCAGGCGCTCTGATGTGCGTGCTCCTTTGTGCATCTGCATACTGTACCAAGGGTACTGTAGTGGGCTGAGAAGCAAAATACAACCATCGCTCCCCCCGCATCATTAACCATGTAACGCGACGCATCGCGGCAGGCTTCCCCGGAGTAACAAAGGTACGGAAAACAAGACAAGTCAAAGTTTATTTAAACCGTCGCCTCCTCGACAGCGTACGTGACACCAACCAACTCCTCGAATCGCGCGACCTCATCGGCCGAGCCATAGCACACCTGCGAGCGGTCCTCGCACGATTTGATCTTAATATCCAACACGCTGCCCGCGCCGTTGCTCGACTTCCCTCCCGCCTTCTCGATAACATATCCGATGGGCAGCACTTCATACAACACCCGAAGCTTGGCCTTGGCCGACGGCGACGCCGGGTTGCAGAACACGCCCTTGCCCTTGACGAGGATCTGATTCACGTCGGGCACCATGCCGCCCGTGTAGCGCAGCTGGTACTTGTTGGAGTAGTAGTGCTCCAGAAGTTTAGCGTATCCAGGGTTGTCCTGTGCGGCGCGCATGTTTCCGGGCGCGAACAGCTTGCCCTCGTTGACGGTCGAGAAGGCCGCCGTGTGGATCCATGACCCGTGCTTGGCAGAGAAGTCGTCGATGAGAAGGAACTCGTGCGCGCCGTCCACGCCGTCGATCGCTAGCGTGATTGTCGTGCGCGGGCCGTAGATGGTGAGCCCCGCGCAGACGACGCCGTGCCCATCCTGCCCGACGAACCTGTCACCTTTCCACACGCCGAAGATGCTGCGCAGGGCGGTGTACAAAATAAGGACAGTGTTGAATCAAACAAACAGGTTAAGGTTAGTCGTTCTGCTTGCAAGAGCTGCTTTCAAAAAAATCAACAAATTCGGCCACAAGACTTGTCATTGCTTACGTTCCGACGGAAAAGTTAGTATCGATAATGGAGGAGCCATCCAAGGGGTCAAAGGCGACCGCGAACTTTCCTCCCGGCGTAATCGGCTTCTCAATGGGCAGTTCCTCAGACGAAGCGACGGCGACAACGCCAGACTCGGTGAGGTTATCGAAGATAACCTTGTCAGCGAGCACGTCAATAGCCAGCTGCTCGTCGCCAAAGTCGTTAAAACAGGACATCTTGTCGCATGACGCTGTACGGATCTTGTAGGCAACCTCCTTGCAGGCGGCGAAGATGCCGCGGGTGCACTTGCCGAGGTCCTTTTCGGCGCGCTGCAGCCAGTCCTCCAGCGGCTCACCGGTGGCGATCATGGAAATGGCAGCGCGGGGGGAGGGGGTGGGGGTGCGGAGGGCGACGCCTACTCGCAGGCCCAGAGGTCTTGAGGCAACAAGGCTAGAGGATTTAGAGGAAAGAGCCGTGCGCGAGGAGGTGCGGGTCGAGGACAAGCGGGCGACGGTGGCGGCGGGGACGAAGGCAGACATGGTAGTGGGTGCGATTGCGAAAGGGTTAGGAATTGGTGAAAAACTGTTGATGAGGGAGACTGCGGGGAGCGGTCGCAGTTGTTGAAGACGAAAGGAGTTTGTGGGGAAGAGGAAATGCAGAAGTGGACAGAAGTGGGTGTAGCTGGGGAATGAGAAGCGGGTGAGTGGCGGGGTGGTTTGGGGGAGATTGAGAGCATGTTTGTGGCTGTGGCTCATCGCCCCAGATGTGTGGTCTCCTTCGAGCAGTAGATACAAACATGCAGAATCCGCGAAAAATGTCTGCATTTTTACCCGCGTTTACCCGCAGGTAGGCGAGTCTACCAGTAACGTCCTTGTGTGCAAAATTTGCTGGAGACTTGGCGCGTGGCTATTGGTTTGCTGAAGCATTGGGGAAAGCAGCGTGCCGCTTGACGCAGGGAACGGCGTGGGGAGTGCCTGCCAGCCCAACCCTCAATCGTGCTCCCTTCTTCTCTTCTACATGCGCTTCTCTGCGTACTGGACATAATCCCCATCATCGATATGCACATCCCTCCGCTTATCTATAGGCCAGTTGTACACATACACCCACGCCGCCAACGCCTTCCGCTCCCCCTCGTCCTGCCCATCCATCTCAATTTCCACAACCTGCAACAAAGCAACAAGACATTTTGCCACACACCGATCCAGGCAAGTCAGCCCCGCGCTTTTGTCTTCACCTTACACTCCAAAGGCTCTCCGCTTGCCACAATGCAACACGTACCTCTCTCGTATACTCCTGCGGCGTCGTATACTCCGGCGCGATGCCCTCATACCGATCGAGCGCCTCCCAGCAGCCGTCCTGCACCCTGAACACGTCGCCGACGACGGGATCTCCCGCCTCTCCCTTGACCATGCCCGGGTACGCGCCGACGTCCCACAGCTGGTGCCCGCGCAGCACGCCAGTGCCCACCCACTCTCCGCGCGTGTCGAGCAAGTGCGGGGGGCGCATGTGCCGCAGCTGGTGCGGTAGAAGCATGTAGGAGCGCCGCAGCGTCCCGTACACGAAGAGGAACGGAGGCGGTGCGGGTGCCGTGCCGGCCGCAGCCCCGCTTCCTGCAGGAGGCGACATTGCTAGAGCTGCGCAAGAGAGAGAGGGGACAGGACTTCTCTGCGGATGGACATGTTGCGCCCTCTCTACACTCATGCTTCGTTTGTGGTGGTGTGGAGTATGTATAGAGGAAGTGGATGCCAGAGGCTGGATTCAATTGTCCAGGCTATGGTCAGAGAAACCCACCCAATTCATTGAAAATTTTGCGACTTTTTACTGTTCTGAAAATTTCAAATGGAAGGATGTTCACACGCATAGAAGCGTACCGTATTTGTTCAGTCGCGCAGCCATCGCCGAAGAAAACCATCCTCCCAACTTTTCTTCTCACCTCTACCGCTCCGCCTTGCTTTCTCGGACCCACCATCGAAGAATACGAGCATGGCGCAAATATTGGAAGCACATCTGCGTTGGCACAGCCTCGGGGCAGCTTTGGCATACACTTCCACGAGAGAAAGTCATCATTTGTTCTGGAGTCGCAGAGACGGAAAATCTTGAGTCTTCACACCTCTCAATCCTCAGGAGGCATAGGAGGAAAAGGGTGAAGCAAGAGCAAAGCTGTTTTGCGGACGGAAGACAATTTCTGCATGACCAAGTCGCAGAAGTCTTGTTTTGTATTGAATGTTGCTTAATTAAATGGAACCACCAATAGTGGAGCAGTGCGCCATAGATCTACCGCAGCACCCTGAAAGTATCGTCAAATTATGGCCCTGCCTCCAATACACGTGTGCGACTCAAAGCAAGCATGGCCACAGTACGACGCCATATCGATTTCTCCTGCCATGCCTCAAGGTTGGAGAGCATTTCTGTCGCCGCCGCCATACGAACTCCCGTCCTCAGTCCAAGTCACCACAACCTCGAGTCCACCCGCCATGAAGTTAGACCCATCCGCGCTGCGCTACCTCAGCGACGATGACTTCCGAGTCCTGACGGCCATTGAGATGGGAATGCGCAACCACGAGCTGGTCCCCATCCCGCTCATCAGCGCCATTTCCGGCCTTCGTCATGGCGGCTACATGAAGTCGCTGAAGGAGGTGCACAAAAACAAGCTCGTTCACAAGGAGACAAAGCGCTACGTCGGATACCGCCTGACTAGCATGGGCTACGATTACCTCGCGCTTCGCGCCCTCGTCAAACGCGGCGTCATCGAAGCCGTCGGCCGCGCCATAGGCGTAGGGAAGGAGGCCGACGTTTTCATAGTCTCCGCCTCCGAGGCCCTCATGGACGAGCTCCCAGATCTTTCCGACACGCCGCATCTCGCCATGAAAATCCACCGACTGGGCCGCACCTCGTTTCGCGCCGTCAAGCAGAAGAGGGATTACTTGGTCCATCGGAAGTCGGCCTCGTGGATATATTTTTCTAGACTAGCCGCGACGAAGGAGTACGCCTTTATGTGCGCCTTGCATGAGAGGGGCTTTGCCATTCCAAGGCCGCTTGGCCAGTCCAGGCACGTCGTCGTTATGGAGCTGTGCAGCGGCGTCCCGCTGACCCAGGTGTCCGAACTTGGCGACCCGGTGGCAATCGCCAATAAGCTTCTGAAGTTTGCGGTGAGACTAGCCCAGCACGGCTTGGTCCACTGCGATTTGAACGAATTTAATATCATGATTGATGACGACGAAAATATCACTGTCATCGATTTTCCTCAGATGGTGTCCACATGTCATGTCGACGCGGAGGAGTTGTTTGATCGCGACATCAACGGAATCCTTCGTTTCTTCGTGCACCGCTTCGGAGTCGTAGAAACAGACCTTACGCGTCCGAAATTGAGCGCAATCCTTGCGGAAAGAGGAGATGAAGACCAACTCGATGCGATGGTCGCCGCCAGTGGTTTTAAAAATATTGCGAATGAAGACCAGTACGGTGAGCAGGATTTAGGTGGCGAGGTGGACGGCGAGGACGAAGAAGTCTTCGAAAACATAGACATGCGGAGCTTACAGTTGTCCGTCCCTCAGGAAGATTTCACTGATCACGAAGGGGCTCCAGCCGCGGGTTGCATCCCAAATTCCTCAGAACGGGTGAGCGGGGACGATGCTGGTGTGGAAGAAAATTTGGAAGTGGAATCCAGGGCAGGTTTTGACAAGCCTCAACCGGGAATGGAAATCAACCGCGCTCTGATCGAGTCCCGAGTCCGCCGACAAAGAGGAAATCAATCACAGCGGCGTCAAATGGCAAGAAGAAACGTTGTCAAAGACTCAGAGAAGCGAAAAATCAAGGTGGAGATGTCATCTGACTTTTGGTAGCCTGCTGAGCCAAGCGCGCCCATACGTCTCAACGATTCACTGACGTATACTGTGGGGCTTTTCGTTTCCCTCTATCTGAGAGGCGCCTTGTCCGCGATTCAATCTGAAGCTGGGAGCACCCTTGTTTATACACCACCATCGGCATAAAGGAGGCATCATGCAAGAAGGCTATCCGCGCGTCATGCCGTAGCTACGACGAGGTATGAGATAGTTGCGCCACTTGAAAAGTAGAGGGAGCACCTACTCATCCCTGAGGACACTGCAAACATCCACTCACCTGGCAATGCACTGCTGAAGGACCAGTCTCCACGATGAACATTTAGCCGTCTCCAAACACCACTTCTTGTTTATTCACAGCCAAACGGTTTGGCTTCGAAATCACGGTCGGTCAAGACTGCCGCGCATTAGACACAGCTTATGAGCCATGGCATGCGTGGCTTTGACGCCTTTCTAACAGTAAGAAAAAACATAAAAGCTCGGTCTTAGGAGCCAGTAGGCCTCTCCTTGCCCAGCGATTTATTACTGCCATCAAATGGCATCTACCTGACCGCAACTTCTTCCGACGTTTCCAGTGCCTCCAGCATTGCTTGTTGGTCCTGAAAGATACACGCCTGAACAATATTCTCAACGTTTCCGTTCAAGAAATCCTGCAGAGAAAAGTTTTGTCCCAATCGATGATCGGTACACCGAGAGTCTTTGTAGTTGTACGTCCGGATTTTTTCCGATCGTGAGCCAGTGCCCACCTGGCTTTTCCTTCTCCCGTAAATTTCCGCGTTCTGCTCGGCAAGCTCAAGTTCGTAGAGCTTTGCTCGCAAAATTTGCATAGCTCGCTCTCGATTTTTAAGCTGAGATCGCTCCTGGGTGCAGAAGATCCGAATGCCTGTGGGCTTATGCATCAAATCAACTGCAGTTTCGACTTTGTTCACGTTCTGCCCACCAGCTCCTCCAGACCTTGTAGTGCTGAGCTCAATGTCCTTTGGGTCAATTTTGACTTCGACATCGTCAACCTCTGGCATAATTGCTAGTGTTGCCGTGCTAGTGTGTACTCTCCCTTGGGTCTCAGTCGCAGGAACCCTCTGCACCCGATGCACTCCAGCTTCGTATTTCATCTTTGAGTACACTGCATCTCCCCGGATTTCCAAGATGCACTCCTTGTAGCCACCATCGGAGCCCTCACTTTCTGATACAAGAGCAACGCTCCAACCCTGCTCTGCTGCGTATTTCATGTAAACCCTGACGAGGTCGCCAGCCCAAATGGAGGCCTCATCCCCACCAGTTCCGGCGCGAACCTCCAACATACAGTTCTTTTCATCGTTTGGGTCCTTCGGAAGTAGTAAGATTTTGAGCATTTCCTCCAAGTCACGGAGATGCTGCTCTAGGGAATTGACTTCTTCCCGTGCAATTTCTTTCATTTCGGCATCATCGGAGGCTTCAGAGAACAATTCCTTCGCTTCCTCCAGAGCCGATGTTGAAGCCATCCAGTCATCATAAGCAGCGACTACGGGCTCAAGTGCAGCCCTCGCTTTCGAAATTCGCATAAGCTCCTTGCTATCTCCGCAAACATCTGGATCGGCAAGCTGCATAGTCATGCTGTCAAACGTTTCCTTGGTTGACTGGAGCTTTCGAATCATGGCTCCCGCGTCCATACGAGCAACCCTTCGCACCAAAGGCCGCCTTCGAGTAGCACGTGGACGAACAAGTCCGCAGCCATGCCATCTGCAACCTCCCAAGGTGTTGCGGTTGAACACAAACTGGTTGCTGCGGAGAAAAAGTGGACCGGCGAAGCAAATTCTCTTCTTTGGGTGAATTGACATCTTCTATCTGCTCAGGTTGCCCAGGTTTGGAGAAAATCGTTTCAGGAACCAATTGGAGTTTCCCAGAACAATCTTTTCTTCTTGAAACCGTAATGCTTTGATAAGAATGCTCGTCCGTTGGCGCACAAATCGAGATGGCCGTGCGTAAAGAGGTCAATCTGGGTGGTCATATTCAAGGGAGTTTGAGATCATGCAACACGTCTTAAAATTAACGCATGTTTTTCCTTTTTCTCGGATTTTACTATATGGCCTCCATGATTTCATGGCTCTCAAGAGCCATGAAATCATGGAGGCCATTTAGTGAGATCAGTGACCGTGATATTTCGCCTTGAAATCCGTTGGTATGGCCAATGCTTACAGTAATCGACTGATCGCCGCCAGAGGTAGCCTTCTGCCGTTATTGAACTTCTACTTGAGTTGAAGTTGCAAAATGTTCTAATCGGGCTTCAGCATTGTACATGTATCAAACTCGCCACATAAGAGCTCAACGACCATCAATAATACGAATTGACATTTTTGTCAATGAAAGCAATCGCCACCCCAACGCTTTATCTTAACAATGAGATTTCGCCACCTACGATGGCGACTGTGTCTTTGAACCCAAATGCAACGAAGCCCCTTCGCTCTTAGGCTAGTTTTATCACACGCTCATGTATCATGCAATGGGTCCCTGCCCCTTCTCTGAATATGGCGTGGTACATGACTTGAGGGAACGACTTCCCGATGTACAGAGCACCTACGATGCAAGCCACATAGTTGCCCCGAGCCAAGGATGAAAATAGCCTCCAGAAAAAAAAATCCTTTACTGTTTAGATATCAACTACGCTCCTGTTACCTCGAACCCCCCCCCCCCCCCCCCTACGCCTAAAGACGGAGCGGGACTTCATGGTCAGATCGGACTTTTTGACAAAATATTGAATTCACTTCACGCTAATGTTAGGAGACTCTCGACCAAGCCAAGCTTCCATGGTGCCCTAATGCGCAAAAAAGGCATACATCAGACCCACTTCACACTGGATATTTCGGGCAATCCTTGCAGCCTGCTATCAGTTTCCTCGTCAAAACGGACTGAATCGAATCGTTGTGAGAGCTCCTCCCTGTTTCCAGCTATTTCATGTGCGCATAAATAAGTTGCGAGAGTTTTAATCTGATTGCTACGGGGAGTCAGTCGCTCAGTGGTATCCCCGTATCTTGTGTGTGATTGCCATTGTTAGAATTGTCATGGCTCGTTTCGTATACTCACAAATCGTCACACTGGTAATTCATCCTCGCGGATTTTTGGAGTATTTCCAAGCTGCAATCGCTTTCCACCGTCGGAATCCACTAATACCATTTCTTCATGAATACCATCGAAATATCCTGGCATCAGAATTTTGGAACCATCTCTCGAGTTTTTTTTCTGGAAATATTGAAACCAACTCCGGGAATTGTACGGGACAAAATCGTTTCCCACTTTTGATATCTTTGGTGATGATAGCAACCCAAGGGCCAAGATTAGTGTAAGACAGAGGCTGATTGGGAGCAGGAACGTCCAGTTGTAAACTGCACAACTCGTATAAACGTCGTATACGTCCTCCTGTCTATCATCATCAATGATCTTTAAACTTAAGATTGCACGGTAAATGTCATCACGGGAGATCTCCTGAAATTTTTGCTGTCTCTCGTCAAAAGAAGCGAGTTGTGTCGGATTCTCGAGCTGAATAGTTCTATATATCGTTAGAGCTTCTCGAAAATTTCCTGGACTTAGTCGGTTCGTGCCGCATTTGATGGACCACATATAAACGGGAGCTTCATTTTTCTGCCACAGCGCCTTACCGTTTACTTTGGCCTCACCCTTAAATGTTTCTGCATGTGACTGAGATGCATACTCAAAATAAAGAAACTCGTCTGGCGGCCCTTCGCTCGTCCGTTGGGCAAATAAAAAGATGGCTCGATTCATCCCATTGCCTGTCAGGTCTCCCTGCCCGGAGAACCTAGTTCTGCTACCAGCTGTCTCGTTAAAGCCTACACAGATGAAGCCCAAAGCCGTCGTGGTAGCTTCAACGCCGACAAGAAGTTCGTTGGGTTTGTACACTTTCTCTAATTTGATGCTGCAGTTGCTGGCTACCATCGGAAGTTTGCGTTTATACAAACATGGGAGGCATTCTTTGCCCGTCAACTTTTTCGGCATTCCACTCGAAACCTGAGTCAAGTTTCCATCGACGAATGATACTGTGTGAACGAAAAAGGAAATGGCACCAAGTTCAACTAAGGTTCTGTTTGGTGAACTGTCTCCGGCACTGATGACGAGTCCTCTTGCCTGTTTTGGTGAACAGTTTTCGGATACACCAACGCCAAGTTCAGTGATCAGCTCAGAAACAATGAGAAATACGGTACATAGTACCGTCGTCAGAATAGCAGGATGTTTGCGATACTTGATGATAGAACGAGGAAGGTTCGGTAACCATGTATCACTGTCGTGCACAACAGGAGCTCTGTTATAGGTATGCAAGCGAGACCTTGCAAAGTTCCTTACAATAAGAGCGATAGCCCTGTCCAAAACAGTAACCGCAAAGAGAACGGCAATGTTCACCGACATCGCCAGAACTCCTACACTCACCATAGCTCTACTGCTTGGAAATAGTTGCTTTTAGCGGAGGGATTTGTTCGAAGAGCTTTCGTTCTCCAAGCACAAATTTCTCTTGCGTGCAGAAGCTCAAACCAGCGTGTACAGGTCGTCCTAGAACACAGCTTCGCATGAAAAGAGAAACGAAAGCCTTTCGATATCAGACGGGAAAGTAGCGAAGACTGCTTCAAGGAAATTTGATCGAAAAAGTTGCAACGTGAAACGTAGAATGCACCCTTCGAAATGGAAAGGAATGAAAAACTCGGTTTTTCGAAAGGAGGTTAGGGTGAGAGGAATGGTGGTCGTGATAGAAGAATACATGCATGCCGGGAATGACGGAGCATGTGAGAGGAACCGAAAACATTACATTTTCAAGGGCAGTGTACCAGGAATATCAACAAGGATCTCCGGGAGGATCTACAGTGGCTGCAAGGCAGCCGCGAAACGAGAGAGGTTTCCATGAAACATGTGCTATTTCGACGCCTTCATGCATCGTGACCGGCCTCGTTACATCCGAGTCACATAACGAGTGTTGATTGTGACTGATGCCATTGCCGCAATGAAAACACACATTCACAGCGCTGCCATTGCGCGTTGTCATGACGAACTGCCCCTAACCTTTGTGATTGAGATCATAAAGATAACAGGAAAGATGGAGACCAACAATGCATCGCTGTTGGTATTCTTTATACTGTACTGTACTGTACCGTATGTTTGCGCCATTCTGCATGCCACCACGTTGCTACAGAATCACTTTCGTTCCACGTAACACGTTCCATCCCTGCTCACTGCTCACCCCTGTTTTCAATGGAAACATAATTTAATGTTCTTCTCCTGGCTATTACTACATATATTTGTATGGTACCTGTACCCGCAATACTGTACTTGTTTGAAATTGTCATGAAACATCTGAGAACTGTAGTTTCGTGTGTTCTTTGGATTGGAGAAATCGTCGTAAAACCTTCCTTCGCACCAAAATTGAAGCTACAAAGCATTGCGCCTATATGCAGGACATCACCCTCAAGTCGCTTAGTGATCCATAGATAAGGCGTCGGGGGCTGCGAAGGCAACACACGATCAAGCAACGAAGCTTCGGAACACTACAGTGTTTGTACGCAGACCTTGTGTCTAGATGGCCTTTAATTGTCTCATGTGAGCCCATCCACTTTCGTCCCAGAATACGTATAAAACAACCTATTATTTTAGAGCGTTAGGTTAGCCGCCATTTATGTTACGTGCCCTTCCTCGACAATGCGGCACTTCGGTATAGTGTACCTTCTTGCACAACAGCTAGAGAGGGAGAAGTCGTTATCACATAGATGAACGAAGAATTCAATTGGTGTTGTTAAGCTATGAATCAGGTTTCTACCCTTCATGTTTCGTTTCGAAGATATCATAGAAACAAGACTGCAACGATGCTCAAAATATCTTGTTCGCCAGACTTTTGTAAGCAATGGCTGAGAACGACGAGCAGTTTTCAATGAATGTAGCTTGTCGCCAAGCAGAATTTATTCCAGTGCCGAGGGTGATCAGTGAGATGTACCTCTTCTATTGCTATCGAGAAACAAGAATCCCAGAAAACGAGAATTGAAAAGTGATCTCATCTTCTGTCAGTTTACCCAGACACGAGGATGCCGTCGGCGTAGATGGACTCCACACTCTTATTTTATAGAAGCAAGAGTGAGAAACGAGGGCAACATGGACACAGGTGGATGACGCTGTATAGGACGAGAGTTTTCAACTAGACAAAAAACTTGCACGGCTATCACCCACCGGTCATATCGACTAGGACAAGGAACGGGCTAAGGGTGTGAGATGAGTCATTGAATGTCACGCTCAGCGGCTTCTGTTGATCGACTGCTCGCCGCTCACATGCGGGTGGTGAAGCATCACTTCGACTGCTTGATAGCAACAAGCAGTGAGCTGCCATTTTCTTTTTTTCTGCGGACCACATCTGAGATATGGTCCTACCCTTGTTGGCGCTTCACGAAGGTTGGCACGTCACGAAGGTTGGCATGGTGAATGTGGGGGCTGTATGTAGCTCACCTCCATTCAGCATGCTGTAGTTGCTGTAACCAGTGAGACGGTGTTATTCATGCCATGTGTTATGCGAGACCTATAGGAAAAAGCCATGCGACAAACAACCGCTGAGAAATGCGCACCGTCTAGCTCTAGCTGTGTTGACATAAGTTAACTAGAGCTAACCTTTGTGCGTGGGCGTGTGACATGACACGCCCACGCACAAAGGTTAAGAAAGGCCCACAAAGTATCCGCGCACCGTGTTTGCACAACTCGGTTGAGAAATCAGACTATTGTATGAGGGTGTAGATGAGCAGTCCAGTCGGATTCCCGTACAGTAGCACTGAGCTCAACAGCGGTGAAGTGGCAGGTCAATCAGAAAAGGAGGACATGCGCCATTGGTTTTGTCTTGAGCACGTGAATTCGCCGCAGTCTCGAGGGTAGGAAACGAATTGCGTGGAAATAAAGAATACGCAAGTGAACAAAGGAAGCAAATGATTGGTCAGCTATTCGCCAACGTTGCTGCATGTGCCATGCGGTGAGACGCTCCTCCTCTCTCTGTACTTCACCACCGTTCTGACTGCTTCGGTGTTTCGCGCAAGGATGGCTGCCCTTTGCCGACAAAGCAAACTCATCTACAGGACTTCTGTCGATAAACAGTGGTAAACAGTCAACAAAGCTCTCCCGTGAAGCTTGCTGCCGTGTGTTGTAGCAGTGCTTTATTCATTTCGCACAGAAGGACGACTCTTGAGTGGTGGATAGAACAGTGCTGCCTCAATATCTTTAAAACGCCGCCTGTTGATGTCAATGCCTGTCAACAGGCATTGACATCAATGCATGTTCATTCTGCGTTCTGTCTCACACACTCTTTGACTCCTCAGACTTTCGTCTTGCACCCGACCTTGTAACGAGACTGTGTCTTGTGCTAATCGTGGGTGATAGCAGATGGATGGTTTTCTCGACTCCATGCCAGTTTTCATGTACAGCTCAACTTGCTGATTCGTTTGGCTTCCTTGTCCATATGTTACGCACACGAGATTCATATTGTAGGTATGTTCGAGAAACATCACTGGAAGACTGATGCGAGCTGGCGGTCAATGGTTTGGTAACCTCGTTGCGTTTCAACTCAACTACTTATTTTCAAACTAGCAATAGCTGCTACAGTATCGACCTTGCCTGCGGAGAAAAATAGGGGATCTAACGTTTGAGTCACAACAACTGTATTGCGGGTAATAATCATTTTCAGCTCGATACTGTACCGTACGTACAAGAGAAGGACGTACAGCATCTATCTAATCGTTACGAGTAACTAAGCAAATCCCAATGCTTGTAAGCTAACCATCGACCCGTGATCCGTACGTACAGCGCAAGGCGTTTGCGAAAGAGAAACTGAGCAGCAATGCAGTAGCATCGGATATTTTTCACAACTTCGATAGGGAGAGCTGATGGACACCCTGTTGCGACTCCAGAGATTTGATGGAAACTTTCCAGTGGCAGTATTTCATTTCCTACGAGAGAACGAATTCAACCGTCTTGCATGAAACTCATACTTCCTTGTTTTACAAAATGCCCTAGACAGTACTTTACAGAGTCAGAGTGTTCTTTAGAAGTGTCACCGTAAGAGAGGGTAGGCATTTCTAAGGCTCCGTCTACACAGAACTACCCTGAAAACAGCACCAAAGCAATCCACATGTATAGGAACCTCAGGCCCAAGTTAATCTATGTTGGGTCTAGCAATTGATCAAGGTCAAGTTCTGGGAGTGACTCCTTCCAATAGTTCCAGTCATTAAATGTTGCGCTTTCCATCAGCGCCTGAATCTTTTTCAGCCCGGCATGGCCGGAGATGTCAGGGAACACACTCTCGACGAGATCTTGTAAAGTGCTGTAAGTTGCTGCGCTCTCGAACTTCGCCTTCATGACAACAAGCTCTCCCCTCGGATTCACCACGAAAATTCGTTGCGGGATGAGGCCCACCGCTCGGTACGAGATCACATCTGTATCTCTATTCCCAAACCCGGCATGAAAGGGATTGTAATCCGGAGAAAACAAGCATCTGATTTCTCGAAGGGCTGCAATTTTGAACTCTTGAGGTTTTCTTCTGATAACTTCCCGAGTAAAACTCTCCACTAGTCTATTTGGACTCATCAAGACTGGCCCATTGGGTAGTTTAGCACTTCCTTGCGTGACGCTATGAAGGAATGCCCTCGTCTGGCTTGCTTGACCAATTGGTCGCGCAGTTAGATACAGCATTTTGTACCCATTCTTTTCAATATGTGAATATAATCCTGCAACGCCGACCTGGCTCCAATCCCGACCCACTGCTGGTAACAAATGACCAAGCACATCGCTTCGGGTGATTGTGCCATCTACGTCCGATATGATAATCTTTGTATGACAGCTCCACAAGAATACCCGGCAGTTCAATTCAACATCACTGGACTCAACATAGAAACGAATTGTGTTTGCCCCTGGCTTTAAATCAAGTTGCTTCAGTTCTTCGGGAGTCGGTCGCAGCGAGAGAGATTCGGGGTCCAGATCGGCGAACGATACGGATACCAATACAGGTTCTTCGGGTACAGGCTTATTGCTTGACCCCGGGTCTGTTGCTCGTGCATTAGGACCATCTGTGACGCTGTCAGCGACTTCTCTGAAGCCGGCATCCTCTAACTCCTTGTTCTCATGTTCAGCTGCCTTGTTAACACTTTCTGTACCGCTGTTTGCATTATCAGAAGCTCCAGTATCTTGTTGCTTCTTCCCAACAGAATTCTCGTTAGAGTCAGTTGACACGTGTATCGCTTGGGATTGAGGTGGGTACTCGGAGTCAGGTATTTCCTTTCTGTTTGCTTCATTAGCTGTATCCAGCACATTTAAGTCTTCTCCTTGGAGCAGAGGTTCGCCTACGACTGTTGGTGAAGCCCATCCAAACCATGTGAATCTACGAGATGGCGTTGGGGGCGACTTAGGGACCTTATCTTCCTCCTTCGATGTTGGGGTTGTCAGTTTGGCGAGGAGATCGATATCCATTTTCTTATTGAAGGAAAGAGCAGCGAAGATGAACGGCACGGCCACACGAAGCTCGACAAGGCGATTATCAATGCAAAACAAGAGGGATGGGTCGTGCAGCATGTTAGGGTTAGCTTTAAACTCCTCAAAACTTACTTGGTGCCTCTGAAAGAGTTCCATTATTTGGGCTTCATCCATGTCATCACTAAGCAGAGATCCGCATGACGACATAGACATCAAACCATCCTGCAGGAGAGAATACTCTTTGTCATGCTCAATACCAATACTGGGGGAATCTTGCCGTTGTCTTGTCATTTTGCCGATAGACGGCACTAAGGGAGGACTTATTTTGCTCGGTCGCCTTCCCACGGGCGAGGACTGTGGCCTGGATAAGACATAGGCAACCTGCTCCTGCAAATCATGGACCTCATCTTCATCAGCTTCATAACCATCGACACTTTTGCAGTCTAACTTACCCTCTTCCTCCCCAACGATATCGCTAATAGAGACTGAAACTGTAAGTGACTCTCGCATCTTTGGGGAACGAGTGATCTGGTCTAATTCACTGTGTTCCATCTTATGTTCAATTTGTTGCTCAACTTCTTCCTTGAAAGGTTCGTCCTGTGGTGATGTTGGTGATTTGCCCTGGCTCCTCTTTTCTGCGTGAACCCCATCTATTTCTCTTGAGTGGCGATTCGGAGGCGACGCAGGCAGACCGAAAAGGGCTGAATTTTGGTCCTCATAAGTATCGCCGCCTTCGTTAGAAATCGACACAGGTGCAGTTGGTTTCTTCTCGGGGGACTCATCTGACAATTCAGACAAGTGTGTAGTGGGGGGTTTCTGGGCTACACTGTAACTCCACTTCCGCTGCGAGGGAAGTATCGGAGGTGAACGGGGCTCGTCGACAACTTCCGTCGTTCCTGCCCTTTCCTTGCGAGTTAATTCTACTTCCGAATCTGAAATATATCCAAAAGGGTAATCACTAGTTGTTGTCTCAACGACATGGCTCGTGAGGTTAGACCAGCTGCCCGACAGCTTCTTAATACCGCTCCCATCGCTCTTCGCCATCGGCAGCTCTCCACTTCCTGAAGGGTTGCTTACATCCATGTCTGACGAGAAAGGAGGCTTTGTTGGACTGTGCATTGACGGAGAGTTGAGCAGTGCGCTCACGGCGTCAGACTCAGACGGCGGGTAAGTTATGGACGGGATATCAAGCTTCTCCGTCTCTGCTCTGAGTTCCTCGGCAAGCACAGCCGGTGAGGAAGAATGATTGTCAGGATGCTTTTTGTCGCCAGTGTGCTTTTGCCCGTACTTCGGATCATAAAAGTAGGCCTCTCCAGCTGCTCCCAGAAGCATGCGGAGACCCGTGCGCTGGCCATTGAGCTCGATGTCGACAGGAATACCGCGTGATTTAAGGAGTTGGAGCTTTCCGAAACGAACGTGGAAGGGAGAGCAAAGCCGCCTCCCCTGATCGTCTTCGATAACGACGATATCAATTGCGCCGGACAGAGTGGCTGTGTTGAACTCCAGGGCCGCCGAGACGGCCGTGAAGATCTTGCCCATATACCCGGACATGATGGGTGCACGTCAACGGGAGGACGTGAAGTGGTGGGAATGGAGACGCTTATCACGGTGCCTCTTGCTTTGGTTGGGTGAATGGCCAGACATTTGATGTAGGACGGCAGGGGAGTCACACACCAGTGGAAAATATTCACAATGGAAGGGGCAAAGCTCTCGGCTAAAGGCAGGAGCCCGGATGATCAGGTAGAGTGCCGCATAACTCTGCGAGTATGGATACAAGTTGATGAATTCCTCAAGTCGGCGATGGGTGATCTCGCGGGAGAATGCAGTTGTTGGAGGACAAGCGGAAGGGACGAGAGAGCTATGGTGAACAATGCTTCTCCAAATGCAAACTATGGGAGCCCAAAGTCGCTGGAGGAATGAATGTACAGCGAATCTAAGTGGACTGGATTGTAGCTGCTCGACACTTGCGATGTGCAACAAAAGAATTCACTCATCATTGGAACATGTGTTTTTGGGTGCAAGCAATTCAGTCATTGAGTGCAACTGAGACTGACCTGAAATAGACACACGTGTACTCTATATAATAATGTTTTTTGTTTAATTTAGGACCATCATCTATTCAGTGCCGGTCATCATACACAAGGGTTTCTGGTTTTGTCTGTCTGAGTCCCTTGTAATTTTTGTCAAAGTCATTGGCTGTGTCGAAAACCAAGGAAGAGGCCTTTTCAAGGGCCGCAGGGTCTTGTTGATGTCAACAACAACATCTCGGGCAACTGCTTCTCTACGGTCAGATCTACTACACGTGTACCGAACTGCTCTACAAAAGAGGACTCAGCCGTCATTGCTAATGACAGTCTATCATCCATTTTCAAAATCCCTTTATCGACCTCGCAACTCCTTTTCCTTAAAGAAGACAATCCTGTCTGGTTGAGCGGAAGAAATTGAGCAATCACGTCCGACCGTGTGTTAGTTACGGTATCTTGACAGTTGTTGCCTCCGTACTCGATGCAGGGATGAAAACCTTTTCCATTTGCTGTAAGCGAAACCCTCGAATACTCCAGGCGTCTGCTTTCGGGTTCGGAACAACTCTGCACTCCCTACAATGCTTCAACCGTGTTCTTGAGCCGCCAGACGCTACCCCAAGCACACCCCGATGTCCACAGGTGATGCAAGAATCAAAACTCACAAAAATCTCTAGCAAGTCCCGTCGCAATTTCTTGCGAAATATTCTCCTCATCCCTGCGATAGCAGTACCGGCCGTCAACCCAGCCGCTGCGTGGACATCGTACTTTGACAAATATGATCAGTATGCGGCAAACTACGACAATCTCGACGGCACAAACCTCATTGCTGGTGTCCTCGGTTTTAATGCCTTGCGCAGACAGCTACTGGATAGAGCAAAGGGTAATGTTCTTGAGCTAGGTGTGGGAACAGGGGTGAACCTCCCACTGTACAATTTCCAACAGGTTTGCTCTGTAACTGGATTGGACTTGAGTCCACAAATGCTCTCCCTTGCGAAAAAACGAGCCGCAAAAATTGATCGTGGGGCTGCTGACATCCAGTTTCTAGAGGGACGAGCCGAGGACGTGCAACTGCCGGATAACACTTTCGACACAATTGTTGACACCTTCAGTCTCTGCGTGTTTCCAGAGCCGATCGAGGCACTGCGGGAGATGAAGCGTCTCCTCAGCTCATCGCCTGATGCGCGTGTCCTACTTTTAGAGCACTCGCTTAGCCTCAATCCTCTGCTTGCTGCGTATCAGAACCTGACAGCCGAACCCACCGCGGCCATGTCCAAAGGCTGTTATCCGAATCAGAGCGTAGCTGCTATGGTGCGACAGGTGGGATTCACAGTACTGAAAGAAGAGCGGCATCTTTCCGGCACAATTACATATCTTGAGCTTTGCGCGTGATAGGCAACAAAAACTACGTTGTTCCATTGATGGAGAACGAACGATTGACCTGTCTTCGTTTGTTTGTTGATTGCATGCATCTCCGCCAGGGAGGGCCTCACAAGAATTCTAGAGGTCTTACACATTGCGGACAGCTGTTGTAAAAACTACAAGTTCTGCTTATTCTACTCGCTCTAGGGCCTTGCGAATGACGGAGAACTTTTCGTCGATGAGGCCCTCAACATCGTTCCCAATAATATCGAAAGGGAGGAGCATGCGTTCCAGGGTTGGTGCAGGGGCGGGAACGCTGTTGCTAGTCTCTTCTTCTCCATCACTAACGTCGGAAGTTTCACTTGATTGCTCGTTTGGCGGATGTAAGAACTTGAATGCAGATGTGTACCCGCCAATGATATCATCCATCTCGACCTGGATGGAGTGCAAGAGTCTTCGAAATGAGTTGTTTTCGACTAACAACACGCCTGCCGCATTTACTTCCTCGTCAGTATCAACTTCTAGTTCCGAGTCATCTCCTGTTTGACTTGATTTGCGTTGGTAGTGGAAGTGCTTCACTTTGTTTCCTTCTCCACGAGTAATTGCGGGTTCAATGCTAAGTTTCTTGGAGTTGGACATGAGCGCATGGACTCGTTGTTGAAGATGGGTATATTGGCGCTCACGCTTCTTCGCCTCAAGGTTGAGCTGATTGATCTGGCCCTCGCCCGCGGCTAATCTGGTTCGCAAGGAATTGCTCTCGGCAGTAAGCTGGGCAACTTTGCGCCTGTTCTTAGCTTCAGTCTCTCGCAGTTTGTTCTTCGCCCCAACGACGTCGCCTTCTCTCTTTGTGACTTTGTCCTTCGTGATGTGCAGCACGCGCGATAAGCGGTCTGCATCGATCTGCGTGGCTTGGAAGCGGTTTTCGGCATCAACACGAAGGCTGACATTTGCTTTGCAGCAACGGGATAGCCGGACAATGGTCGAAAGTGCTGCAGCCAAGACACGGTCGATGTTTTCATTGTTCTCTGTCAGGAAAGGCAAAGGGGGACATTGACCACCCTCCCTTAACAAATCGTTGGCGACCGAAATGCCGTGTACCAGACGCTCGGGTTCAACCGGGGGCTTCGGCTCAGATGGGGAAGTTTGGCTTTCTATGCCGAGGACGTCAGCTCTGTCATCGCTAGCGGACTGAATGAGTCCGTCAAGAAAGTTTGAAAGCGACCCATCATCCTGATACACATCCTTGGGGGCCATTTTCAATAGAGTCCCACCACACTGGTGCGCCACGCGTTGGGAAAGGAAGGATACAAGCTGAGGGGAGCTGAGACAGTTGTCATGGTGGTCGCAAGTGTAAAAGTTGCTCACATGAAAGGTAAATTGACGCCATCTTGCTGGAATCGGCAGACCGTAACGGTCACAAGAATGCACGACTTCGATCTAAAGACACCGAGATTGGGGTGGCGATTTCTTTTTGAATTTGAGTTGGGTTTTTTTTTTTGAAATACTTTCGAATGTCTCATTAATTTGGCGACAAAATATTTACAACGTTGGAATTGGATCATTTGCTGTGCTTGAGCTCAGGGAGGGCTGGCATACAGTGCAGCATCGAGCAATGGGGCCAGTCTAACTTCATATTGGGCATCACGCTACGGATGTACAGTACATTCGCTGACCTACCGTCGTATCATATCTTTATTTACAACAGAGCTAAAACCCGAGCATACAGTGGTGTTCAACGCAATGTACTGTACGGCACAGTCAGTACCTTCTACCTGACAGGATCAAGGTGTTCAATCTACTCTAGAGGAGACGCATTCTTTCGCCCTTCGTCACAGATACACCAACGACACATTGGCCTATTCTTTGTGCAAACTCGGTCATTCTTGCCTGCATCAGAAGTGCACACAGTCATGGCTGTACAAGCAAAGAAGCCGGCATCGCTAGCTCAAGCGCCAGCCGCGGAACGACACGTCTCCTTCAGCGAACCGGACACATCCATTGCCATTCCGCCCCGTTCTCATCCCGGTGACAATCGCGACAGAGTCTTATGCTGGATTCTCTTCACGATCTCCTCATGTGTTCGATTCTACCGTCTCGGTATGCCAGCCTCAGTGGTTTTCGACGAATACCACTTTGGATCGTTTGTCGATAACATCCTCTCCGGAGCAACTCACTTTGATATTCATCCTCCCCTAGGAAAGCTCACTTTGGCCGTCTTCGGATATCTGGTAGGCTATCGTCCCGATCCCAAATTTGGATACGATTCAATTGGCAAGGAATTTGGCGGCGTCCTGTACTATCCATTGCGTGAGATCGCCGCCATTTTTGGAGTTGTCACAGTCCCGCTCATGTATTCCACAGCTCGAAATTTAGACGTCTCGTGGGTCGGTTCCCTTCTCGTAGCAGGTCTGTTCTGCTTCGATAATCTCAACATTATCGAAAGCCGTCTCATACTGATGGATTCTCAGATTGTCTTCTATCTCGTCCTGTCCTTATTTTGTGCTCTCCATCTCTGGCGCTCACCACCCAAAACATGGAGACGCTTTTGGTGGCTCACGGCCACCGGACTCGTTTGCGGATGTTCAATCAGTGTCAAATGGACCGCCCTTGCAACACCGGGGCTCATTGCGATCGTCTCTTTTTTCGGTCTTCATTTCTTGGAAGATCCGCTCACCTTGCTTGAGTGCATCTGGGCAGGCATCATGGGTCTTGGTCTGTACACTGCGCTTTTCTGGGTCCATTTCAAGACCTTGACCCACACAGGGCCAGGAGTTGGGTTCTTTCCTGCGGAATTCCGGAAAACGCTAATCGGCGAGCCTGACTATGATCCGACTGCCGTGAGAAAGCCCTTCTTCGAGCTCTTTGTATACTTGAATAAGTACATGTTCACTGCAAACGCCGGAATCACTACGCGCCATAACTGGGAGAGCTACTGGTATCAATGGGTCGTCAACTGGAGAGGCCTTTTATACTCGAATACACCAATTGGAGACAAATGGGCCTCCGTGTATTTGTTCGCGAACCCAATTATTTGTTGGGTTTGCGCAGCCTTTGTCGGTCTTTTCATAGTTATATTCCTCTTCTCCATTCGCTATCGGGATGCAAAGTGGTTAAAGGCTCTAAGGAAAGAGTCATTTTTGTATGCACGGAGGACAAGCACATTCTTGTTTTGGGGCTGGCTTATCAACTTGCTCCCGTACATCCTAGTTGATCGCTCAGCGTTTGTATATCATTACTTGCCAGGGCTTATCTATGCGCAATTGTTGTCAGGAGTCATGGTCGACCAACTACCGATGAAGCTTCGCGTTTTTTCTGTGCTTGTCCTCATGTCTGTATCCATTGCATGCTTTGTGTACTACGCACCCTGGATTTATTGCACCCCACTAACGAGTGAAGAACACTCCGCTCGCAGATGGCTGCGGAGATGGGACTGAGCTTGAGAACGCGAAGGAGGCAAAACCGCGATCAATGATTAGAATCGTAATTCCTAGGGAGGGTACGGTCATGCTGCCTCGCACCACGTCAACCTGGGCGTGTGCGAACAGTTGAGAATAGATATCGGGCAAGAAGATAGCAGTGAGCACAAAGCAAAACAAGGTCTCCGAAAGACAACAGTATAGTACTCATGTATAAGGATGTAAACAGTCCCTGATTGCGCATCTTTGCAGCGGGCCATTGACTGATATGAACGAAAAAGTGAACACCTTGCATCTCAAACTATACAAATAATAGTGACGCAAGGGTTACATCAAACGCCGAAACTCCAATTTGAATTTGAAACGAAGCGCCTTTGTCTCCTCTGCCAGCACACAATGAATGGATCCAACTCCAACATATCCCCGTTTCAGCGTTGAGCCTTTTTGACACGGATTAAAATGCCCTGATCCCAACGTGGTACCGACCGCTATTCCCCTTTCCACCGAACATCGATCCTTTACAATACTTGCGTTTTCATGGTTCGGCCACTTGTAGGAGCTCAAGCTTCACTGTGCTCCAAATAGAATATTCTGCGATTTCGCATTCGTTTTGCCAAATGCCCGAAAGAAATAAAGAACAACACTACATAGGGCTCCATCGATGGTACATGTCGCGAGCAAGCACATCACAAAGGCATCTGCGGATGAAGAGCACGATCACAAAGACAACAGTCCATATCCGGTGGCTTGAATGAACGTCTTTACCTGCGTGAACCGCCCCCTCTTCTTCTCCCTCTCCCACGACCACGTCCACCGCTTGGTTTCGAGTCGAGCTCCCCATCTCCAAGTCTATCGAGTATGATGTAAGTCTGGTCTGGGCTTGTCACATTCCCTGACGCTCCCTTGGTCCAATCGTACCCTACCGCGTACGCATACGTCTTGCCGTCCGCAGCGAAGTCAATATCGGTAACTGGGCCGTTCATCTTCTCGAACCGCCTCGTCCTCGCTCGTTCCTTCCTATCCTTGTCCCAAAATGAAAACCGACCATCGCTCGCCGCAGTTGCAAACATCCCGGAGGGCTTGTGGAAACGAATAGCGTGGATCGCATAGCCAACACGATTTGCCTTATCTCGATGACATGAGAACGATGTGCTTGCCCCTGGCTCCAGCTCCTGAACGTAATCCACACTAACTCGTCCATCAACGCTGCCGACAAGGTATCCCATCCTATCCGGCCATATCGATACACAGCGCGTCTGATATTTGTGCAAGGTGTACTTCTCCTTGAACGGAGTCGCCGGCTTTCGTACGTCAAAGACCACAAGCTTCCGATCCGCCAGACCGACAACAACAGTCGGCTCTTTGACATCCATGGCGTAAGCACGGTCAGCGAGAGGCACAGAGCCCACCGGCGATCCAGTCGGTGCGCGGACGTCCCAATAGCGCAGCGTCTTATCCCAAGAAGTGGTGGCAAGCAATTTCTTCTCCTCCACGTCGCAAACTTGAGTCACGGGCTCGTCGTGAGCGGCGACAATGGTAGTAGCGCCCGTGGCCAAGTCCCAACTATTGACGATCTTGCTCGCGCCCCCGCAGTAAACAGTGGACCCGTCCGCTGCCCACGCGCAGTCAAGAACAGGGGCCCCTTGCTCGGTCATGGACACAGCGACCGCCAAGCCTTGATTTGGGTTCACTTTCCAGCAGCGCACCGAGCCGTTCCAGGATGAGGCGATGAGGTAGATGTCGCCGGTGCTTGCAGGGGAGAAGCGTAGGCGAGACACTGTGTCGTCTGGGGGTTGCGGTACGACGTACCCATTGTTTGGGTTGTTAGCAGCACCTGAACCGCCAAAGGGCATGGTGAAGTCTGACGCGCCGCCGCGGTTGCGAAGCAGAGGAGTGTCTAAACTGAATGGCTTCTTGAGCGATCAAATGGGCACCGAGCCGCCACGTTGAGACGCGGCTGCGCTTGGCAGCATAAAGGTGCACACCACTGTCGTGGGAGGGGGTTTGAAAGCGACGAAGAGGCCAGGCGGAGAGAGTGAATACCTTCTGCGAGCGCATGCGAACGGGATCTTGTCGACTCGATCGTAGAATGTCCTACTCGCAGCATCGCTGGTGAAATCTTGTCCGAAATAAATGTTGTTTTATAATTTACGGCCCCCTCCCCCCAAAAACAAAAACAAAAAAATGCTCCTGAGAGCAAATTATTTTCTCCATCTTGTGAGAAAACAGGAAGGCCCCATCTGCTGCAACCCCACTCGTATGTTTCTTATGTTTAAATCAGAATTCCGAGCCTCCGCAGGCATGTGAAAGAACGGCTGAGCAAACTATGCAGCAGTATAGATTTATATCGTTAAGCTATCGTATGCTGCGAAGGTAGCATACGATAGCTTAACGATATAAATCTAAGAAGACATTTTCTCTCCTGAGAGCCCTGATACATGTCTTTCGTACACTTAGTTCGAAAGGCTGATGATGAAAGGCAGTACTAATAGTCTTCGCTCTGGAAAAGCAATTCACTTGGGCTTCCGTCCCTCCACAAATGCTTGGACGCGATGCATTTCAGATATCGAATTCTCGCCATGCTGTGTAATAAATCGTTTTCCATTTTGGCCATCGATTGTTGTCTAGAAGGGCTTCAGTTGATACAGCGGAGCAGTGAGTGATACGTGACAGTTACCGCAGTACACGAAGGTTACATCAGTAGACCTCTTCGAGCTCCCCCTGCTTGTAAGCAATGTTCATTTTGCAAACAGAAGCAAAGTGAGACTGGCATGCCCCCTAGCAGCAGCGGCGTCTATCGACTTCTCGGTCAAGGCTCGCTATTTGCGCAAACATACCACCAAGAGTTTACAATGCGTGTGTTTGTTGTGTGTCGGCACTAAGATACAATACTTACAATCGGTGCCTTTCTTCTCCTCAACTGCAAAGCTGCTACCTATCATATCTAATGACTCATATGCGCATCAAAAGCCCATACCTCGAGAGTCACAATCTTGAATTCAGTGCAGTTTGATTCATCCTTGCTCAATGTGTTTGTCAATGGTGGGCTTGCAAATGTCGAACAAGCCGATGTGGTGCCCATGAGCAGATCCTCATCAACCCATAAAGCAAAATGACTCCCCGCCCCGCCCCCAATTGCCAAGAATGAATGCGACGTAAACTGGAAAAAGGAGTTTTCTCGGCTCCATTTGTAAACCTTGACCACGTCCGGTCCGTCAGTACCGAAAACAAAACTCTCACCCGTCCCGTAGTAACGAGCCGAAGATGCCTTCCAGGGAGCCGCAGCATAGCAGCCAAAAACGCGGTCCTTGGTATCGCGAATGACGAGTAGCGTCGGAGAAGCTGTCTTGACGCGATTATATAAAGTGAGCAAAGACATTCCATGCTCGTTCGTTGAATACAGCAAGCGAAGCCCGCACTCATGAAAGCGCTTCGGCACGCCAGCGCCCACAATGCTGGGAATGTGTTCCGGGCTCAAAACATGGGACGTTGTCGAAAGCTTAATGGCAATGGGGGGCAATTGCGTCGCATCAGGCTTGCTTCTGAGCTGACCCTTGGGCGACCGCGTCATATCCACAGAGCTTTTCCTTCCCAACGCGACCGGCTCTCTGTCATTCGGCAGCGTCGCCAGCGGCCTTCTGACCTTGTCGCCGTCGACATCGCCGATCAAGTCCATAATTCGGGCAAGTGCGACAGCGGGGGCCACAACGCGGACGCGGGTGGAATCGTCGGTCGCGCCGACAGTGAGGGTGCCGAAATGAGGCGCGACTAATTTGGCCAGATTTTCATTGGCGCCCTGAATTGCCCCGCTGGCGTCGATGCGAAAATCCGTCGCCGACGCGGTGCTCTCCTTCGCGCTCGTAGTCGGGGTGAAGCACGTGATGCCCTCAAATATTCGCTCGATTACAACTCCCAGCATGACGTCCGAGGCGGCGATATCGTCCGCGACGGGGATTAGCGCCAGGTTGGGCATGGTGACATCGCGCCAGATGCGGGCGTGATCGAAACGGAACGAGGAGTTGGACGCCGCGCCTTCCTTGAGCATGCGCAAGACCGCGACCTCGCGATCGTGCCTCGCTTTGCGCTTCTTCTGAGAGAGCGTAACATCCGGCTGCAAGACCACGGGCTCCGGCGCGCCTCCACGAGGATCTCCTTCATGCGCAGACAGGGGCATGTGCGTATCAACACTGTCCGGCACGTCGTCCTCCTGGATGGTATCCAGCGTGAGCTTCCGCAAGCGGTGAATCTCGGCCTCGACCTCTCCCTTACGATCAGCGGCGGCCCGGACGGCGTGATTGGTGACGTCGATCTGAGCCTGGAGCGCGCGGAACAGGCCCGGATCGGACTGCGGGGCGGTGTTGTGGAGGGCAGGGGTTGCGCGCGGGGACGGGGCGGCCTTGGTCCTGATGGCGGCCTCCTTGCGCAGGAGGTCGTTGAGGGCCTCCTTGGCCGACTCGAGCGCGACGGCCAGCGTGGCGGCCTCGGCGCGCAGGAGCGCGACGTCGGCGCGGCGGCGCGCCAGCGCCATCGCCAGCGCGGACGACTGGCGCGACAGCAGGTGGCACTCGTCCTGCAGCGCGGCCGTGGCGTCGTCGACGGGCGCCGACTCGTGGGCAGGAGGG